GAAGAAAAACTGGACTAGTTCTAACTTTGAAAAAGTCCTATCAACTATTTGTACTTCATTTTTCATTGCTGTGAAATAAAGATTTTACCTGCCTCTACCCTCTGGGAGCAAGATAATAGGAATTTACATGAGCTGGTTTACAGTGAGGTTTAAGTTTCAGAGCCCATTGTTTGCACCAGCCCCTTCTAAGGCCCTAATACTTATTTCTATGTGGGAATTTTGTAAAAATTTTTTTCTTAAATAGATCCCCCAAATTTGTTGGTGCTTCAGTCTGCATAAGAACTGAATCTACCACTACATACTCAAGTGTTAAAAAAATATTTTGGAGGAATAATTACACAGAAGTCCAATTTTATGTTTAATTAAACTTTTCTTGATCATCCTCTAATATATAGCAAAATAGAAAAACTTTTTGGTGTTTTGAAGTCTGACTTAGGCAACTTGATTCAGAAGGAAGTTTTCCGGAGTGGGAAATCAGAAGACCTGGATTTTGATTTGGGGTAACACTACTACATAGGTATGATTTGACACTTTCCTGAGATTCAGTTTAAAAAAAAAAGTTGAAATGTCTGAGCTTTAAAATCTTTCCATTATGAAACACTGTGATTCTTACTCCCTAATGCTAAAATATTGGGGTTTTTCAAACTAGTTGGCTTCAGGTTTATTGTTGAAGTAGTGTGACTACAACATTGAAAGTCAACTAAGATCTTCCGTGAATCATCTTTCTTGAAAGTTTCTGGGAAAAGGGAAATCATGAAAAATATTTCTACTATCAAGCGTTGTTCCTTATATTAAGTTAGGATGTCTATGAAAAATAATTTGATTATCATTGTTGAAAGATTTCAAGATTTTAAGATTTTAAGATTTCTTAAAGAGTGAAGAAAATTATTCTAGTTGCCCATCTCTGTTGAAATCTTCTACTCTAAGCTGGCTGGATTGTTCAGTTGGCCCAAGGGCCCAAGACCAGAAATACTGCATTCTTGGCACAGTTCTCAGTTCTCACTATAAATGCAGTACCTGAGGTTGCAGGAGGTCAAGATAGGGGGGAAAAATAATTCCATGCATATCATTTAATCTTCAGTTAATTCTTAAAATGCAATCCTCTTGAAGGAAAAATGTCCTTGTTCTTGTTTTGAGGGAAGGATGAATTTAGAGATCACTTTAAAAGTAAGACTGGGATGGAAAAGGGAAAGAGATTTCAGCAGACTTTTATAGAGTACCTGCTATATAAAGATGTCACAGGGCCCAGCAATTTGACTCTTAGGTATATAATCAAGAGAAATGAAAATGTATGTCCACACAAAAAATTGTACACAAGCAATTATAATAACATTATTCGTAGTAGCCAAAATGTAGAAACAACCCCAAATGTCTATCAGCTTATAAGTTGGTAAACAACATGTGGTATATTTATATAATGGAGTATTATTCAGCAATAAAAGAAATTAAATACTGATTCATGGTACCACATGAATAAACCTTCAAAACAGCATGCCAAGTGAAAGAACCCAGTCACAAAGACCATTCAAAGGAAATGTCCAGAAGAGGGGAATCTATAGAGACAGAAAGTAGACTAGTGGTTGCTTAGGAATGGAGGGGTGGTAGGGTAATAGCTAAAGGGCATAGGACATCTTTTTGTGGTGATGAAAATATTCTAAAATTGACCAGGGTGATGACTGCATAAACTGGTGAATATGCTAAAAACCATTGAATTACAGAGGTGCCTGGGTGGTGATTAAGCATCTCGCTTCAGCTCAAGTCATGATCCCAGGATCCTCAGGCTGAGCCCCATGTAGGGCTCCCCACTCAGCTGGAGGCCTGCTTCTCCCTCTCCCTCTGCCCCTCCCCCCTACTCATGCGCTCTCTCTCTCTCTCTCTCTGTCGAATAAATAAGTAAAATCTTAAAAAAAAAAACAAAAAAAAAACTTTATATTGCTGAGTTGTATGGTGTGTGAATTATATCTTAAAAAATGCTTTTTAGAAAAAGGTATCATGAGATAGAATGATTAATCAAAACATAGGGTTAGACGAGTATCCTCCTCTGAAGAAGCCCTTGTCGTACAGTAAGAGTACAAATATATATGTATTTAAAACTGAAGCAAAGGGGGAAAGTGGTAGGTCTTATACCAGAGATGATGTTCTCCTGGACTGTCAGAGTGGTTGGGATTTGGATATTCTAGTCAGAGGGAACAGCATAAGCAAATAAAAGGGTATGAAAATGTAACTGTATAGTAGTTCATTTTTCCTGATTATGGAGTTGAAGAATTTTGGTTAGAGTAGTGGGGTTTGAGGCCAGTTTTGAATGTTAGTTACATAAAGTTATTCTTTATACTGTAGGCTGTAGGGAGATATTGAAGGATTTTGAGCAGAGATGTGATATCTCACCTTTGCTTCAGGAAGATGATTATGATAATAGTGTTTTTAAGATGAATTCTGGGGGCACCTGGGGGCTCAGTTGGTTAAGCGTCTGCCATCAGCTCAGGTCATGATCCTGGAGTCCCGGGATCGAGTCCCGCATCGGGCTCCCTGCTCAGCGGGGAGTCTGCTTCTCCCTCTGACCCTCCCCCCTCTCATGCTCTCTCTCTCTATCTCATTCTCTCTCTCAAATAAATAAATAAAATCTCCAAAAAAAAAGATGAATTCCGGAAAAGATAGACTAGAGTCTGACCAAGTAGAAGCAGAGGAAAAAGATAACGGAAGTGGAAAAAAGCAAAGAAACAGATAAAAGGAAATATTTGAAACAGAATTGTGAATTAATTGTGACAAGGGCAGCGGAAAGATCAAAGTTAATGTAAGGTATAAGTGAGGGGAGAAGCCAAAAAGATATTTGAAAGTATGGGGTTGGGGCTTGGAAAGGAGTTCAGCACAGTGTAATGCCTTAGCCTTACTGGAAACCATTGAATGGACAGAAGTTAGGAGAGCAGCTTGCAGTCACACATAGGGCTTTAGGCAAATACTTGGAATAAAAATACTTTTATTCTAAATAAAAAATACTTTTATTTAGAAATCAGAGAGGGGCACTTGGGTGGCTCAGTCGTTAAGCGTCTGCCTTAGGCTTAGGTCATCATCCCAGGGTCCTGGGATCGAGCCCCACATCAGGCTCCCTGCTCTGTGGGAAGCCTGCTTCTCCCCCTCCCACTCCCCCTGCTTGTGTTCCCTCTCTCTCTGAGTCTCTCTCTGTCAAATGAATAAATAAAATCTTTTTTAAAAAAATAGAAATCAGAGAAAAGAAGAGAAACTGTAGGAGAAAAAATTTGGAAAAACAAGAAAAGACACTTTTATGGAATTCAAGAGACATTTATAAAGAAAGAAGGGAGCTTGTGGAATAGAAGAAAGCTGAGAACATCCCTTAGGTGTAATGGATAAACTTCAGAGTATACTTTTCAGCCTCAATAGCATGTGCAGTCTTCCAGCAAGGGGCAAAAAAAGATAAAACAGAGAAAATGTAATTCCTAGAAGTCATAGAACTTATTTTAGATTATTTATAGAGCTATGCAACCATAGAGAACACGTTTTAAGAAAATTATGTAAGAATGAAGAAGTATTTAAAGAAAGAAAATACTGAGCATGCATGTCCATAGTATGTCCAAATGCCATCCAAATGAATAGGTCCTCTTGCATTTGAAATTAGGACATGAGGATGTTAGTAAATGCCTTATTTTAAATTACTTCCTTAGAAATCTTGCAACTAGTGTTCAAGGAATTTTTTAGTTTATTGAAGCTATAGTCATGCTAGATTAGCAGGATAGATATGCAGACATGGCAATTATTGATTGGTTTGATGTTTGATGGTTAGGTAAAATGTGGTACAGAATTCTGGCAATAATAGCTACCACTTAATGTAACATTTCACAGCCATAGAATCAGAGGGAATAATAAAAATAATGAGAAAGATTAGTTTTTAAGTATAACATGTTGGGAGATTGGGATATCCTCAACGGGAAAAATGTGAAAGTGGAAGTCAATACCTTTTTATCTAGTTTTTTCCCCCCTCTGTAAGGCCTTCGTCTCCAAAGCAGTCAGGTTACCTAAAAATTATTTCAGTATACATATTATATGTTTTAAATTATTATATTCTTTGACCACAGAACTCTAGTTCTAGAAATCCATTCCAAAGAAAGCCCTAAAATGTAGATAAATAATATGCACAAAGATCTTCCAAACCAGTGATGTTTAATAGTTCAACAGAGAGTTGAATACAGCCTTGGTTTCTAATTGTGGAGAAGTTGTGAGTGAATAGGAAGATATACATTGGGAGATACACATTGAGCAGTCATTAGAATGATCTTTGTGAACAGTGATAACATGGCAAAAATGCTCATAATCTAGAATTAAAGAGGTTGACTATGGAATTATATGTATAAATGATCTCAGCTGTATATAACAAAATAAATATGAGCATGAAGAAATAAATACGAGCATGGAGAAAAAAGTATGCCAAATTGTTAATGAACTTTGTCCTGGGTAGGATTATAGATTTTTCTTCATAATAGTATTTAGTTCCCAGATTTTCTACATTGGGCATATACGTCTTTAATAGATCATAAAGAATAATCATTACCCCCCAAATGCAGAAGACTGGTTATAAGAGAGCCTAGGAATGGGGAGATAGATGAGCCAATGTAAATCATCATGCTCATTGGAAAAGCAATTCAGAATATAAGCCTTACTGACAATCAGTAGCATCACCACAACTGTCAGATTAGTCCTGTCTACTGGTAGACTCTATTGAGTTTCCCTGGACTCAAACCAATTGAAGTATCAATATAGATTCTGAAATCTAAGGACACTTTTGTTTTCCTGGTATTGCTTGTGAAAGTGTAGCCCGAGTCTTTGATGTGCAAATCTTACCTTTTGCATTTGTCATTCACAAACAGATGAAGGTAAAAGTTTTAACTTTGTAATATTACATGTGTAAAATTTTAAAGCTACCATGTGATCAATTATGGCTTCCTTAATTTTGCTTTTGTAATTATATATTTCATTCTTCTTTTCCATAGGTGCGTCATAAATGCAAAAGACTGAAGTTTTAAAAGAGGACAAAGAGTTTGCTGCTAAGATGAATCTGAGCAATACAATATATTTTGTGCCATTCACAAAAAGGTATTGTCCATAGATCCATGACAAAGCTTTCCCATAAAATGGGAAGAGATTGTGTCTTCTCGGTTTTCTATAATTAATTTTTATTATATTTGTAAAAAAATAGGGCAAAGTGGAAAAACATTAATGAAATTGGGATAAAAATTCTTTTATAAAAACTTTTTAGTTTTTTAGTTTCAGTTTTTAGAATTTTAGTTTCAAATTCTTTCCTTATAGATTTTCATTATTTTCAGTCACAGCTTACAGTTTGGAGAAATACTTGGTTAAAAGAAATGACCTTACCTAAAGTTTCTTGATTCCTATTATCAAATTATTTTTCTGGAAATATATATTGCCTTTTTCATTGTAGTACTTTATAATTAGACTTTGAAGTAACATAAAATTTTTCACATCACTTTTCCTCTAATTACAGAAGTAGTAGGCTTAGCAGAAAATTTAGAAAATACATATAAGCAAAAAAAAAGGAAATATAAAGTTACCTGAAATCACAACACCTACTTCGGATAAAACAAGCTTGTAAAGAAATCCAGACTTGGAGATGAAAGAAGCCATGTTTCCCATCTTTATGGTCTCATCCCTCTTTACGTTCTACCTACTTACATCCTGCCTCTATTGCTAAAACAAAACAAAAAAGACATTGCCTTATATAAATTCCTAGAAGGATATTACCTGGTCAAAGAATACACCCATCCTGTCCTTCCAGCAATGTACAAAAATGACTGTTTCCTTATGCCCTTACAGAAAACTGTATCTTTTCTCTATTACTTTGTCAGTTTGGTAGGTGAAATGAGGTGTCCTATTATTTTAGTTTTTATTTCTTTGATTACTAGTGAAACTATATACGTTCCATATCCTTAATAGCCACTGCTATTTTCTTTCTCCTATATGTGTCCTTTGATGGTGTGAGCAGATGTATGTATGTGTACGTGTACACTTGTCTGATGTATGTTTTTATTGAAGTATAATCAACATACAATGTTATATTAGTTTCAGGTATACAATATAATGATTCAACAATTCTATACATTACTCAGTGCTCATCAAGATAAGTGTGCTTTTTTTATAATTTTTTTATTGTTACGTTAATCACCATACATTACATCATTAGTTCTTGATGTAGTGTTCCATGATTCATTGTTTGTGCATAACACCCAGTGCTCCACGCAGAATGTGCCTCTTTAATACCCATCACCAGGCTAACCCATCCCCCCACCTCCTCCCCTCTAGAACCCTCAGTTTGTTTTTCAGAGTCCATTGTCTCTCATGGTTCGTCTCCCCCTCCGACTTACTCCCCTTCATTCAAGATAAGTGTGCTCTTAACCCCCTCCCTTTATCTATTTCACCCCCGCACCCACCCACCTCCCCTATGGCAACAACTACTAGTTTGTTCCGTATTTAAGAATGTTTTTTGGGGGGGCACCTGCGTGGCTCATTCAGTTAAGCGTCTGCCTTCGGCTCAGGTCATGATCTCAGGGTCCTGGGATCGAGCCCTGCATTGGGCTCCCTGCTGCTCAGGGAGTCTGCTTCTCTCCCTCTGCCCACCCCCCAAGCTGGTGCTCTCTCTCTCTCTCTTTCTCTCTCAAATAAATAAAATTTTTTAAAAAAATGTTTTTCTGTCTTTTTTTCTTTCTTCATTTATTTCTTAAATTCCACATATGAGTGAAATCATATGGCTTTTTGTCTTTCCATGACTTACTTCATTTAGCATTATACCCCCTAGGTCCATCCATGTTGTTGTGAATGGCAAGATCTCATTCTTTTTTATGGCCAAGTAACATTCCATCATTTGTGTGTGTGTGTGTGTGTGTGTACACACACCACATTTTCTTTATCCATTCATCAATGGATGGACACTTCAGTTGCTCCCATATCTTGGCTATTGTAAATAACATGGCAATAAACCTAGGGGTGCATATATCTTTTCGAATTAGTGTTTTCATTTTCTCTGGGTAAATACCCAGTAATGGAATTACTGGAATATATGGTAATTCTATTTTTAGTTTCTTGAGGAACCTCTATACTGTTTTCCACAGTGGCTGCACCAATTTGCATTCCTTCCAACAATGCACGAGGGTTCCTTTTTATCCACATCCTTGCCAATACTTGTTATTTCTTGTGCTTTTTATTTTAGCCATTCTGACAAGTGTAAGGTGATATCTTGTGGTTTTGATTAGCATTTCCCTGATGATGAGGGATATTGAGCATTTTTTTCCTGTCTTCTTTGGAAAAATGTTGAATCAGGTTTTCTGTTCATTTTTAATCAGATTATTTGGGTTTTAGGGGTGTTGAGTCCTCTAAGTTCTTTATACATATTGGATATTAACCCCTTATCAGATTCATCATTCGCAAATACCTTCTCCCATTCAATAGGCTGCCTTGCCGTTTTGTTGCTGGTTTCCTTCTCTGGGCAAAAGCCTTTTATTTTGGTGTAGTCCCAATAGTTTAATTTTGCTTTTGTTTTTCTTACCTGAGGAGGCATATTGAGAAAAATGTTTTTATGGCTGATGTCAAAGGAAGTATTGCCTATGTTTTCTTCTAGGAACTTTATGGTTTGGGGTCTCATATTTAGATCTTTAATGCATTTTGAGTTAATTTCTGTGTATGGTGTGAAAGTGGTCCAGTTTCATTCTTTTGCATGTAGCTGACTAGTATTCCCAACACCATTTGTTGAAGAGACCGCTTTTCCCCATTGTATATTCTTGCCTCTTTTGTTCTAGATTAATTGGCCATATAAGTGTGGGTTTATTCCTGGGCTCTCTGTCCTGTTTTATTGACCTATGTATCTGTTTTCATGCCAGTACCATTCAGTTTTGATTACTACAGCTTTGTGTAGTTTATCTTGAAATCTGAGACTGTGATGCCTCCAGCTTTGTTCTTCTTTCACAAGATTTTTTTTGGCTATTCGGGGTCTTTTGTGATTCCATACAAATTTTAGTATTATTCTAGTTCTGTGAAAAATGTAGTTTGTATTTTTTTAAGATTTTATTTATTTGAGAGAGAGAGAGAGGGAGAGAGCACAAGCAGGGGATAGTGGCAGAGGGAAAGGGAGAAGCAGGCTCCCAGCTGAGCAGGGAGGCCCACTTGGGGCTCAATCCCAGGACCCTGGGATCATGACCTGAGCCGAAAGCAGACGCTTAACCGACTGAGCCACCCAGGCACCCCTGTTGTTGATATTTTCATAGGGATTGCATTAAATCTGTAGATTGCTTTGGGTAGTATGGACATCTTCCATCCCATGAGCATAAAATATCTTTCCATTTGTTTGTGTCATCTTTAGTCTGTTTCATCAGTGTTTTATAGTCTCCTGTCTGGTAAGAATAACTTTTAACCAGCACATATTTTGCATCATTCCTACTTTATTTGCCTTTCAGTTTTGTTTATTGCATCATTTTAAAACAACCTTATTGATGTATAACTGACATACAATAATCTGAACATACTTAATGAATATAATATATTTTGGCATAATATATACCTGTGAAGATAGTAAACATATCCAGCACTCCCAAAGCTTCTTTTTTTTTTTAAATATTTTATTTATTTATTTGACAGAGAGAGAGAGACAGCAAGAGAAGGAACACAAGCAGGGGGAGTGGGAGAGAGAGAAGCAGGCTTCCCGCAGAGCAGGGAGCCCGATGTGGGACTCGATCCCAGGACACCGGGATCATGACCTGAGCCGAAGGCAGACGCTTAACCGACTGGGCCACTCAGGCGCCCCCAAAGCTTCTTGATACCTCTTTTTAATCCCTCCATCCCACCCTTTCTCACTCACCCCTGTCCCCAGGCAACCACTGATGTGCTTTCTGTTACTTCAGTTTGCATTTTCTAGAATTTTATACAAATAAAATCATAAAGTATGTACTCTTTTTTTGGCGGGGGTCTGTCTTTTCACTCTACATAATTATTTTGAGATTCATCCATGTTGTAGCATGTGTCAGTAGTTCATTTTATTGCTGAAATGCATTCCATTGTCTGCATGTACCACAGATTGTTTATCTGTTCCTTTGTTGATGAGCATTTGGGTTGTTTCCAGTTTGGGCTATTAAAAATAAAGCTGCCATGAACATTTGTGTATAGGGCTTTGAATGGACATATGCTTTCATTTTTCTTGGGTAAATACCTAAGAGTGGAATGGCTCTATTTTGAACTGTTTGAGGAACCTCCATACTGTTTTCCAGAGTGCCTGCACCAGCTTGCCTTCCCACCAGCAGTGTAAGAGGGTTCCCCTTTCTTCACATCCTTGCCAACATCTGTCATTTCCTGACTTGTTAATTTTAGCCTTTCTAACTGGTGTGAGGTGGTATCTCATTGTGGTTTTGATTTGTATTTCCCTGGTGTCGAGTGATGTTGAGCATTTTTTCATGTGTCTGTTGGCCATTTGTATGTCATCTTTAGGGAGATGTCTGTTCATATCTTCTGCCCATTTCTTGATTGGATTATTTGTTCTTTGAGTATTGAGTTTGAGACTTTTGGATACTAACCCTCTATCTGATATGTCATTTCCAAATATCTTCTCCCATTCTGTTGGTTGTCTTTTGGTTTTGTCGACTATTTCCTTTGCTGTGGAAAAGATTTAATCTTGATGAAGTCCCAGTAGTTCATTTTTGCTAGACGTGTCTAGCAAGAAGTTGCTACAGCCGAGGTCGAAGAGGTTGCTGCCTGTGTTCTCAAGAATTTTGATGGATTCCTTTCTCACTTTTAGATCTTTCATCCATTTTGAGTTTATCTTTGTGTATGGTGTAAGGAAATGTTAGTTTCATTCTTCTGCATGTGGCTGTCCAATTTTCCCAACACCATTTGTTGAAGAGACTTTTTTTCCATTGGATATTCTTTCCCACTTTGTTGAATATTAGTTGACCATAGAGTCCAGGGTCTATTTCTGGGTTCTCTAATCTGTTCCATTGATCTACGTGTCTGTTTTTGTGCCAATACCATACTGTCTTGATGATTACAGCTTTGTAATAGAGCTGGAAGTCCGGAATTGTGATGCCACCAGTTTTGGT